ATATATTTTATTGACCATCGCAAGACTTTGTATTCTTATTGAAATATGAGTAATGATCACTGGCTACTATATGAGGTTGGATATGAAGAACGAAGGTTGGAGCGTACTATCATGGTAATGTAGTTCCGTAAGCATTCGGGCGTGCGTTCCGAGTCGCTGCTGCTAATGCATAGTTCGCAGCCGCCAAGGTATACCTGTCTCTTATACACATCTAGATGTGTATAAGAGACAGGCTTAAACCAGTCAAAACTGAGTACAGTCACCACTGAAATCAGTCAAAACTGAGTACAGTCGCCGCTGAAATCAGTCAAAACAGAATACAGTCGCCTCTGAAATCAGTCAAAACTGAGAACAGTCGCCGCTGAAACCAGTCAAAACTGAGTACAGACATCACTGAAATCAGTCAAAACTGAGTACAGTCACCACTGAAAGCAGTCAAAACTGAGTACAGTCACCACTGAAAGCAGTCAAAACTGAGTACAGTCACCACTGAAAGCAGTCAAAACTGAGTACAGTCGCCGCTGAAAGCAGTCAAAACTGAGTACAGTCGCCTGAAATCAGTCAAAACTGAGTACAGTCGTCGCTGAAACCAGTCATAACTGAGTACAGTCACCGCTGAAACCAGTCAAAACTGAGTACAGTCACCCCTGAAATCAGTCAAAACTGAGTACAGTCGCCGCTGAAACCAGTCATAACTGAGTACAGTCACCACTGAAATTAGTCAAAAATGAAAACTGACAAAATGGAATCAAGTCAAAATAGCAGTAACGAATTTATTCTTGTTTAGTTCTTTCCCTGATAATTGATTTTCAACTTCATTATTGCTTCTTAGAAAACGGTAAAAATTACATATTTTATGAAACTTTTACTGCTTAATTTATTAGTGGGAATTAATTAACTTCCAATTTTAAAAGTTTGAATATTCTAAAGCTGAAAAGTTCCCCTAAGAAAAATAAAGGACATACGCACAATTTAATCTTTTCTTATAAATAAATTTTTTCCCGTTCTCAATTAAATTTCGGATAATATTTTTGTTGTGATGTGAATGTTATTTTTTAGAACGTAAGTAATAGTAGTAGGCAAAAAATTTTCGTATAAAAATTTTTTTTTATCTTTAAGGTCGAGAATCAGAATTCATACCTCCAAGTAACCTTAAATCTATCCAGGTATTTATTGTTGTCTTTCAATAACACGTAATTAGACCTCGCGCGCATAGTTTGGCAGTTTTCTTTGATATTCCTCCAGCAGTTAAGTTCAGCCTAATTCCACTCGTAAATGACCGAGGTAACCATCTGAATATATGAACGTCAGGTAACAATTTGAAGCTGTTAATCTCAAACTTACATCGTGGGCCTTCCGTTGCTGCTGAAAGGCACGGCTTGAGTTTCTTGACAAAAATAATTAATTATTCAACCTTTTTAATAATAAGCCAGCAAAAGATTAGTGATACAGTGAAATCGCAAAACTTAGTCGCAAAACGGAAAATTGTTTAGGGGCTCAAATCAAAATTCTAATTAATTCTTCACTAAATCAAACAGTTTGTTTACATAAACTATACATAATTATTAATAAATTACCATACATTACTGATGACATTTTTTAAATTAAAATAAGCATTCGGGGGCAGTTAATTCTACCCTTCCTCGTACAAGAACTCGAAGCCTCTCCCGCCACCTGATATATCCGCGCTCGTTACTGATCGCTTTTTCATGCGTGCGAACTTCTTAAGAAGTTCATAGATTGACAATTTCTATACATAAGCTAAGTTCGAGCGCTGGCTGCATGTGTGATCAATAGACGACCAAGAAGTTCTTAGCTTATGTGCAGGGGTCGATTTAAGAACAACGAGGTTGCTCGAGCGAGTTCAATACCTTCCATAAAAATTATGCATGGTCATGTTTAAATTATAATATTCTAGATCGAAAACGAAAAATTGGATTAATCTTCCATCAGTGAATATTTCAGAGATCCGTATTAGTTGAATTCATTGCAATAGAAAAATGTAAACATTTGCTCTGTATGCCTTTCTTAACTCATATATTGATTCATTTAAATATGATAAGACATGCTAAGTTGACATTTCATTAATGTTGTTGGTTTAAAGCTCCATGTTGAATTTTATTGAATGATGTTGGAGGTTTAGATAATCAAAGAAAAGGGCCACATGAGAAGGATGCTTGAACAGTAAAAAAGTATCATCGACATATCGGTTACAAAAATCAGGTTTAAAATCAAGAGGACAATTTCTCTCTCCCTTCTCCCCCACTCCCCTCTTCCCTCTCTCCTAAGAAACTCTCCCCTCTCACATACTCCCCTCTCTATTCTCTCCTACATCTCTTTTCCTTCTTCCCCACTCACCTCTCCCCTCTCCCCCATACCACTCTCTCCCTCTACACCCACCTCCCCCTCTTTCCCGCCCCCGCTCCCCCTTTCCCCTCGCAGCAGCGCGGCACAAAATGGCCGCCACGCTCCCTCGCTCGATCATCCCTCAGCCGAAAATGCTTGGAAATTTTTTTCACAAACTTCTACACAGTTTCCCAAAAAATTCGAGTCCTTCATTTAGAGAACTGCAAAACTGCCTTTGCAGAACCGCAAGCCCCTCATGGCCTGGGTTCTCAGATAGCATTCAGTTCTATCCATGAGGACAAATGAAGAGAACGTTTTTTTTTATCAGCTAATATTATATTGATTAGGTTGAAATCATATGTATAATTTGATTCATGTAGAAAATATTTGCAAGAAGCATGAATTTTTGGAAAGTTTTTAAATGCTTTTCTATGTAATTTTTTAGAACTAAAATTCGTGTGACATCTAATCGTGTGGAATCGTTCGTCTGTGGCAGGGAAATGAAACGAGCGATCGCAGGTTCGATATAACACATTTCTTTTATGTTCTTCATGAACAGAAGAACAGAGTTGTGGCACAACAACACACAAAATTTAATGTAAGCGATAATATTTAAAATGAAAAAAAAAGAATTCTACCAAAAATTTAATAAATGATAAATAATAAATGACTAGAATTAAAATTACAACAGCCACAGAAATTCGGACTGAAAATAAAAAAATAAAAGTTGAATTGAAACGCAAAAGAACTCAGAAAGAAAAAAATAAATGATAAAATGTAGAAGCAGACTCAATAAGGAGGTAAAGAAAACATGTATAGGTATAGAAATCCAGTGGAAACGAAAGCGACAAAGTTGAATTAATGGAAAAGTTATAATTGCTAATAAATAGTTATGAAAGAAAAACATGATTGCTTCTTCAATGTAAATATAATACTTTCTGCCTTGTCACGGCACCGGAACAATATATTGTTCTTCTAATTGTTATTAAATATTGTTGACATAAATCGAGGTGAATGCCTATATAACTTAAAACAATGACTAGTGTATCATGGTTACGCATTCGGTTACGTGAAGAAATTTTCTAAAATTTCCTTCCTAAATTTGTAAAAATTTTAAATTATACTCATATATCTTATTGTCCTTCTAATTTCCATTACGAATATTATTTAGAATGAGTTTAGCTTGATCGTTATTATAATATTTGTGATGGATGTTTCAATAATATCCCGTGGCTCAAAAGTGATGCGTCAGGAAGGGTAGGTCTGGCATCAGATTACTATGAAAATTTCAAGGCGAAATATCGCGTGGATCAATTAATAGAAAATAGCGTATAAATTATATCTAAAAATAAAATTTAATAATGAAAACCATTAAGAATGTACGCCATTGTAGTTTAAAATAATAAAAGAAATTTGTAACTCATCGAAACGTAAAAATAAATAATACTAAACTATTTTGTGATTAAACCAATTAGGCGGAAGTAGAACTAAAATTTTTAAGTGTAAATAATAATTAAAAAAAAAGAGAATTGCACTTAAAATTGAGGCATAAATGCACATAGAATGTTTGTTGAGGAATCAAGTTCTTATTCACCAACATTGCTAACTCTAAGAGGAGATATACATTACAGTTACAACATGAATATCACATTCATTAAGCCTAGAGATAACATTAGCAGATGCTTTAGTGAAAAACTAGTCACCACTGAAATCAGTCAAAACTGAGTACAGTCACCGCTGAAACCAGTCAAAACTGAGTGCAGTCGCCTCTGAAATCAGTCAAAAATGAATACTGACAATATTGAATCGAGTCAAAATAGCAGTAACGAATTTGTTCTTGTTTAGTTCTTTCCCTGGTCATCAATTATCAACTTCATTATTGCTTCTTAGGGAACGATAAAAATTGAAAATTTAATGGAAATATTACTGCTTAATTAATTAGATGGTATAAATTACCATTCAATTTTAAGAGTTCGGATATTCTAAAGCTGAAAAGTTGCCTTAAGAAAAATAAATGACATCCACACAATTGACTCTTTTTTTTAAATAAATTTTTTCACATTCTCAATTAAATTTCGAATAATTTTTAGTTGCGAAGTGAATGTTATTTTTTTGAAACGTAATTAATAGTAGTAGGCAAAATTTTTCGTATAAAAATCTGTTTTTATCTTTAAGGTCGAGAATCAGAATTCATACCTCCAAGTAACCTTAAATCTATCCAGGTATTTATTGTTGTCTTTCAATAACACGTAATTATGACACGAATTAAAATATGTACAAAGTAAAACATGTTTCAGCAATACTCGCATGTTATTACATTGCTCAACACGTTTACTTTTCGATTTTGATTTTTGATATATTCAACAGTATTTACAGTCCAGAAACAGTTTTTTATGGGGCTTCAATTTTAAGATAATCAAGTTGCATCTATTAATTCACTGAAATTGCGACCACAAAATAGAACCAAAACTTCACTGATGATTGTTTTTTGTATTCTATAAAATGTTTTGTACAGATGATGGAGCGGTTCTCTGAAAAATTTTCAATGAAGATATGATAAATTTACTTAGCGTTATCTTTGCCTTCAAATCATTGGTGAACTTTCAAAGTCGAGTTTTGATATAATTATAATTATCCAATCAATTTTGCCTCATAGCCTTGATTCATTTTGTATTTATAATTTATGTGAGATTTTCAATGGCGTTTCATGAGCCTCGTCACGTCGCATCGCCGAGCTCGTGCGCCCACAGCCCCGCGATGGCACTCCCGAATCTCTGGGGCTTTTGGGGAGTGTGCCACAGTGGCACCCCCACTCCCAAGGGCATGGGGATAGACGAGGGTTGTACTACCTGGGGGTGATGGGGTGGAGCTGGGGGTGGGGGAAGGGGAAGAGAAGAAGGTTCTTCGTGGGGATTAGAAGCCACGCTGTTCGCTGCGTGGTTAGCTGAGCGTCAGTGCTCGAAGTATGAGTTGTGCATGAGGTAGAGCTTGTCAATGGGGTTAATTTGGGGGTAAATACTCGAGGATAATCCCACCAGGCTTGTCACTTCCCCATTATTGTTGCTCATGCTGGTGCTGCTGAGGGCTGTGCTCGCCGTCTGCTGCTGCTGCGATGTCGTCGATGTCGCGGAACTGGGGAATTGAGAAAAAACTTTTAGTTATTTACAGCGTTTTATTATCAATTATCCGCTTTTCGTTATATATATTTAAAGCGTTTGTTATCAATCATCCTATTTCCACTGAGATTGATGCTGTTCAGTGTTGCTATTCCTCTATTTTCCTCACAGTGTTCACAATCGGTTAGCCTACCTCGTGTAAGAAATTTCTCTGTAATGAAATCCAAGTGTTTTAATGCTAAGAAAATAAACACCTCCATCGAGACTTGACTCACGAATCTCTGTCGTCATCGAAGCCGTCCATTCTCGAGTCGTCGAGGCTCAGGTCCGACCCGCAAAAAGACTCGCCGGAGTGCGCCGGAAAACTTTCCGCCTCCGGGGAATAGGGAGCGACTACCCCCCCGCTGTTGCTCTTGGGGGTCGTGGCGTAGGGGGAGTCGGCCGCGTCCAGGGGGGTGAGGCCCCCGAATGTGCCTGGGGGAAGCAAGGGAAGGAAGGGGTTATAGTCTTACTTTGGTCAAGTGCGTATAGGTAGGGGTTATAAACTGACGGGCGAGTGGAGGGAGAGGCTATAAACTGACGGGCGAGTGGAGGGAGAGGCTATAAACTGACGGGTGAGTGGAGGGAGAGGCTATAAACTGACGGGCGAGTGGAGGGAAAAGTGAGGGCTGGTGTCCTTGGCAGTTCATTGCGAAAGGAGGACAAAATTAATAAAGGCAAACGTTCAACAGGCGAGCTTCCCAGCTGAAGAAGAAACAAACAGCGACGTAGTAAAATTTTGGATTAGATTGTTCGTGAAAACAAACGTTTGTTTGTGAGTCAACGGAGGCATGTTGAATACTTAATTACGGCGCGTATAGACAGATAATATTAACCGAAGTCTCTGTCGAAAAGTACTGAAAACCTGAAAGTCAGTGCTGTATGATATAGAAAACTGACATTCCTGTTCGGATTAAGAGGAAAGAATATATGGTTTGGAACTGTAAAGCGCTATTGAGTTGTTGTCAGTAATTTGAAAACAAAACCAGCCCACTGGAAAGTGGTTTTTAATTTCGGTTTAGCGGAAAGCAGACGGAAAGATCAAATACTGTTACGTATAATACAAAATCGCTCGAAATTAGTAACTATAAACCTAAATAATGAAAAACGATCGTCTCCTGCCTGTCAGAAAAAAATTTCACTTTTTTACGGTGCTGAAAATCTGACCAATATAAATCCGTCCCTAAACAGCCAGTGTATCGTTATTAAAGTATCGTCAATAGCCATATCGTTATCGTTTGATTAATAATTAAGTATATTAGCCAATGTTCGCGATATAATTGAATGAATAGAAATCTGTGCATGACATGAAATGTAAGAAAAGTAGGAATAAATAAAAACAGTCAGAATTACAATAAGCAACAACTGCTGTTTCGGTGGGCGAAATAAATAAAGATCCTGATAGTGCGGCGATGAAAATTGTTTGCCCACCCCTCGTTAACCTATTATAAAATGTAGGCCTATTTCCAGAAGCCTACATCAACAAACCACGGGATGACCAGCATTTAATCAACTATTATTCTAAGTAATCACTATCACTCTCTCATAAAATGATTCATAAAATTATATGATATCAAAGTCCTCGTCAACACAGATAAATGAACAGAAGTACTTTATACTCGAGCCTGTATAGTTGTAATTTAATCAAAAGCATTCGACGAAAAAATTGTGAATTTAAAGGCAATATTAAACGGGTGAGGTCGGGACGCACTTGACTACGTTATATAGCAGCTTGTAATAAGCGAGGAATATTTATACAGATAAGACACACATTGCAACACAATCTTATCTAAATCACTGCTGACGCCGTACGAGTCAATTGAGTTTCTTAACATCGATAGCTTATCAATTCAGTTCGTTAGACGACCTGAATGATCCCTTGTGGCTCTGCCAGCGCTACTCCGAAGACTTTCAATTTTTTTAATCATCAGTCATTCGGAAAAGTATTTGACAATTAATTTAGGCACAAATTTCTGAGCAAGTATGTAATTATCAAAGTTTGTTTAAAAGACTTTGATCAACAGCAAATTCACTTAAAATGAGTGAATTTTCCAATGCTGATAGCTCATAAAGCACAAACTTGGCATATATGAACAATTTCAAGCTTAACTAAAATGCTACAGAACACTCTTGTTGAATTAATTACTTCTCTCCTCAGAAAACTACAACGACTCACCATCAGCGGCTTCTTTTTTCGGCACTCCTTCCTTGTCATCTTTCTCCTCCTTTTCGTCTGTGTTGTTGTTATTCTGTTCGTTGTTGTGTTTAGCCCTGCGCTGGAGTTTCTTCATCTTGGCGCGCTGGTTCTGGAACCAAACCTGCACCACGCGCACGCTCAGGCCGGTCTCCTTGCCAAGCTGTTCTCGGACCTGCCGACCGTTGAATTTAATAATGAATCACGATTCCAGTTGTGAAATAATAGCAGAGAGTAGGTTTGCTTTTTAGCAGATTAATATGTCAAGATCAAAAGTACTATTAATGTGCAGTATTGAGTAGTCTAGCATTCTAAAAAAAATGCTGGAAAAATTTCGCATTGAATAAAATTTTGTTAACATGAAAAGGCACGAGAGTAAAAAGCAGCAGTGGTGAAAGTTTTTACCGAACAAATCGGTGACATGTAAGTACTAAAGATCCCAAGATCAACATCTCGCCCAAGCTTGGGCGAGATGTTGAAGGAGTGCATGCCTCACCTTCCTGCAGGGCTTGGGCGAGATGTTGAATGAGTGCAAGCCTCACCTTCCTGCAGGGCTTGGGCGAGATGTTGAAGGAGTGCGTGTCTCACCGTCCTGCAGGGCTTGGGGGAGATGTTGAAGGAGTGCATTTAGCCCTGCGCTGGAGTTTCTTCATCTTGGCGCGCTGGTTCTGGAACCAAACCTGCACCACGCGCACGCTCAGCCCGGTCTCCTTGCCTAGCTGTTCTCGGACCTGCCCACCGTCAAACTTAATAATGAATCACGAGTCCAATTGGGAAATAATAGCATAAAGTAGGCTTACTTTTTAACATATTAATATGAATAGATAAGAAGTACTATTAATGTACAGTATTGAGTCGTCTAGCATTCTGAAAAAAATGCTCGAAAAAATTTTGCATCAAATATATTATTAGTGTACAGTATTGAGTCGTCTAGCATTTAAAAAAATGCTGTAAAAACTTCGCATTGAATAAAATTTAGTTAACATAAAAAGGAATTAGAGTAAAAACTAGCAGTGATGAAAGTTTACCGAACAAATCGTGACATGTAAATAATAAAGATCCCAAGATCAACATCTCGTCCAAGCTTGGGCGAGATGTTGAAGGAGTGCAAGCCTCACCTTCCTGCAGGGCTTGGGAGAGATGTTGAAGGAGTGCATGCCTCACCTTCCTGCAGGGCTTGGGCGAGATGTTGAAGGAGTGCAAGCCTCACCTTCCTGCAGGGCTTGGGCGAGATGTTGAAGGAGTTCATGAACTGCTTGCGCTGGGACGAGGTCAGGATGGTGCGGGGACGCTTGGGTCCTCTCCGGCCGTCCCTGGGACGCGACCCTTCCTCCACGATGAAGTCGTCCCCTAGGGGACCTGCAGACAGTGAGATGCTATGGATAAAATATGGTTTAGACGATATAGAATATACGGTCAGTTGAGGTTCATTGTCTTATGCATCAACCGTTTTAATTCTTTTTTATAATCTGGGACGTTTATTTAGCTTCCTTGTTTTTATATTGCGACTCCTCTGTTAATGATTCATACGATTTATGAAGAGTTTTGGCAACGGTCGTTGAAAAAACATATAGGTATCGTAAATCCTGATTTTGGTTCTAAATCCTCATATTTTCCCAATACGGAAACGCCATAACGAAGATAATGACGCGTACTTACAATACTGATGTTCATATGATCGGATAATAGACCGAAAGAAAATATGGATAAAATTAGGTTTGGACCATAGAGAATATACGGTAGATTGAGGTTCAATGACTTATGCTTTATCTGTTTAATTAATATAATCTGGGACGCTTATTTAAACTTTAATAAATTGCGACTCTTCTGTTAATAATTCATATAATTTATGAAGGGTTTCAGCGACGGCCAGTAAAATGTCTATAGTTAATATAATTGCTGATTTTGATTCCAAATCCGCTTATTTTTCCCGAATACTGAAGGACCACAAAGAAGATAATGACGTGTACTTCCATTACTGATATTCTTATGACTGGATATGATGATGATGATGATGATGATGATGATGATGATGGATAATCACAAAGACTGTTTAAAAATCATACAATAGTTTGCATTAAGAATGTTAATGATCGATTGAATTGTGGGTAATATCAATTGTTTACATCAAAAATCCTAACAATCATTAAAATTAAGAAGACTAGCAAGATTGTACAGAGCAGTACTCACACAGCCACTCGCTCTGAGGCGTCTGCTGCAGCAGGAAAAGTTCCTTCTCGTAGTCGGCGCGGCAGAAGAGCTGGTGGCCACGCAGCACGTACTGGTCGCCCTTCTGCAACGCCTGCGGAGCGCGACTCCTATGCGTCAGTCTGAGGAACTCTTAAGTTCCTATAAAAAATACCTTCTACGTTCCTAAATTAATGACTGCTCCAATCATGTCCTTAACTCCTAGCTCTTTCCCTCTTGTTAGCTCCTATGTTGCTCATGGTAACTGCTAAGTTCTTCTTAGTAATTCGTAGTTACTCTCATGTTCTTTTATCAACTCCTATGTTTCACTTGGCAGTTCATTTCCGGTTATTTCTCGTTCTCGATTATTTCATATTCCTGTTAATTTCACGCTTTCGTCTAATTTTAGTTCCCGATGGTTCCGATTCCCCAAATAATCTCTAATAACAATCTAAACTGACGGTCACTTTGAACGCCAGTTTTACGCGTTCGCGTTTTAGATGGTTACGGTGTTATCTCATCATTTATTTTGATTTATCGTTAATTATAGCAGGGTAATCGTTCAAGCTTTCATCCACGACTAACTTGACTTGATTTTCAATCTTTCAACGCACCAGACGACTGCCTGCTGCCTTTGCTCTTGTTACCAACATCGTTTTAATTTACTCAGAAAAACATCAAGTTTAATCAGTCATCAAATCATTAGCATAAAATAAGAATTGTGTACAAATTATGTCAAAATCGTCCCGTACGCACTGAATGTAGTTCCGTGCTGGTATGGAAGGGCGACAGTTTTAATTTAGCCATATAAATCAACAATGACTATATTTTTTACGAAATAAGCATGCATTTTGTGGCATGTTGAGATGATGTGAATAAGTTTGGGTTTGGTCTAAGGCTTACCCGACAGCAGACGACGCAGGCGAAGCAGTGGAGGTGGAAAACAAGCTGCTGAGCGCGCATCACGAGTTCGTGCGGTAGCAGACGATCTCCGCAGCCTGCGCACTTCACTGAGAACAATCTGTGGGGAAATGGGTTGATTCGGTCACTTCACTGAGAACAATCTGTGGGGAAATGGGTTGATTCGGTCACTTCACTGAGAATAATCTGTGGGGAAATGGGTTCATTCGGTCACTTCACTGAGAATAATCTGTGGGGAAATGGGTTCATTCGGTCACTTCACTGAGAATAATCTGTGGGGAAATGGGTTCATCCGGTCACTTCATTGAGAACAATCTGTGGGGAAATGGGTTGATAACCTCTTCACCAAGAACAATAAATGGTAGATGCGTGATAAAGATAAAAATTTCTTTAGTAAAAAATTTTTGATAAATTCATACAAAGGTTTTGGCCGAAGAATATCGAATAGGCAGTGATTTTTCTTCGCCGTAAACAATTTAATGCGAAATAAGCTCATATATGTATTATTCGTAAAAAAATCCCCCCCTAAAGTTGTAACATTGGCAATGAATGTAAATAAACATCACTTAGAAAAAATTGTCTGTATTTTTATCATATTCACGGTCACAAATTATTAACTGCGTACAGTCTTTGTTTCAAATACTAAGTCCATAGTTTCGAGGTAGTATTTATTACATGTGAGAACAATTACGCGGAGGAAGTTGTTCTCATTGATATGTGGGGAGTTAGGGATGAAGACAAACCTGTCTCGCAGTGTTATCAGTGAAAGGTGCAGAGCGAAGGTGTGAAGTGCCTGCTATTGTCTCTTATCAGAAGTGTCAGCTAGGGGCTATCAGTCTATGCCAACTGCTACTGATATGCCTTCAAGGATCATCTCGTGTATAGATTGTGGGGCTCTACAGGCTCTACTGGGAAACTTATTTCTAACAGTTATATCCAGGGCAACCTAGGGGAACCTATTTTATTGAGAATTGGTTGCTAGAAAAAAAGGCTCCCAGTAGAAATACGTGCAATAAAGTAGGTTCCCCTAGATTGCCCTGGATATAACTTATAAAACAGTTCCCTCCTTGTACAGAGGGAAAGTTTATACCTAATGCCGAAGTATGCCTTCAAAGATCATCTACATAGATTGTGAAGCTAAACAGAGGGAATGTTTATGCCTAATATCATAATGTGACTTTAAAGATCATGCATTTAGTTAATAGATTGTGGAACAATATAGTGGAAAGTTTCTACCTCATATCAGAACATGCCTTCAAAGATCGTACGCCTTCAAAAATTTCACGTTCAAACGCTATAATTGAGCATGTTGCTGATAATATTTTTTTTAACATCAGGATTGTAGTGATCAATTTTTGGGTGTAACTTTGAAAGTGGACGAGTGTAAATTTCCATTCACAAAAATATTTATTACAAATTTCGTACCTAGTTTAATCAGAATTGATTTTGCGTCGTCTACGTAAATCTTAAAGTCTCATACCGTTCTATTTACGCGTAAAATTTGTTTTCAAACACCATATTCAAACGTGCACCATTCCCTCACTTTGTTAGGCCATCATATAAATAATTCAGCTTATGAAAAAATTTGTCGAATTCGAAAGAATCTAACACATAAACGACATAAAAAATATAAAAATTAGACCCTCGAGTAGCAGTAATTGTTGAAGTTGTTGAGCGCACTTGTGACCCGTCATTCTTCACAAGATCGAGGTCCGTCTTATCTCAAGTGGTACAAGTTTAGCGACACGGCGGACCATCAGAGAAGGCGATTCGAATTAGGATCGAGGTTGCGGTATAAAATTTGTATGATAATTTAAGCATCGGGAATATGATGATCTTAATAATTAATTGTAGTAATTTGAGTGTTATGGGCCTATTTGTCAATCCTGAGTACAAAGTTATTGAGTTGCTGAGATACGTTACTGCTGCAAGTAGGGATAATATTTATTACATGCTAATAAATAATTGCAATTGAAGGCCATTAATTATCTTGTATTAGGTTGAAGTTACAAAGTTGGGAAAGAGGCTGTATGGATGCCAATGTTTTGGTGAAATGCTCTACGTTCGCTCGGGGGCTGATATGTTTGACATGCTAGACATGTAACATACAGCATGCGGTACTTATAATTCATTTTACTGCATGCATATCATGACCCGATTCGATTTCAACAATTAACTTTAGCCATACTTTTAACGATTTTAGTATGAAATCGTTCATAAAATCGTACGCAATTTGATCATTCAGAGTGAAGGCTTCATATTTCATATTAACAATTAATCGAAGCCTGTTTTGTAGGTGAAAAATTTCGTAATAAGTGACGGTCAGAGAAGTTCACTTCGAAATTAAATTATTTGTGTCATAAGGTCAGGTTATGATATCACATATTGGCGGGAAGTTTAATTAAGTTCTCGCTTATACCTCATCCGTAAGTCTGGCCGAGCACTCGCATCGATCAGCAGGCACGGACGGAAAGAATTAATATTTCTGCAGCAGCAGCCGCGGTGCCGCAGCTGTTGCACGCTGCAAGCTGTCACACGAGGGGAACTGACGCGTCTGCTGCAGTATTTTGTCCGCACATACAGAGGGTACAGTCGTGGAAGGGACGGAATCCGAGGATATGTTAGGATGAAGAATGATTTTCCGACATTTAGAGGAATGATTTTCCGAATCACCACTAATTTACTAGAGGAATGATTTTCCGAATTACCACTTATTTACTAGAAGAGTGATTTTTCGAAATAAAGGGAAAGGTATTTTGTCCTCAAGTGAGGCAAAGTCAGTAGCGGAGGGACCAAATTTCCACTCATAATTTGCGGGAAAAGATGAATTAATCAATAGACAGGTTTTCCAAAATGAACTTTAATGTATTTGTCCTCTGAAATCACGGGACAGTCACTAGAGAAAAACAATTGATCTGTGATTTTTTTTAACAAATGGAAACCGAGTTTAGATTCTGCAGAACAATCAAGTCCGAAGAATTAGTTGAATAACTTGTTGGTACCGAAAAGATCGAGTAGGATTACGATATAGGCTGGCAAATTTTCCTCCTGAAATTCAACGGATGAAATCCAATGAGAGAAAAAATTTGCTAAGTAAATTAACATATGAAAGACAAGTGCGTAGGTAGAAAGTAAAGAAAAAATTGTTTTTCAGAGGAAGTAGAAAAAGCAGTTGGCTTTCCACGTCACAAATTTCTGCACCTGCGTTTTGCCGTCCGAAATTCATCATCGCAGTAGCGACCAACACCTGCTCGCCGGCGAGAACCAGTCCCGTGGAGCGCGAGATTTCGGAATAACTTTTAAATGCTATGTGTATAGTATAGTATAGTATAGTATAGTATAGTATAGTATAGTATAGTATAGTATAGTATAGTATAGTATAGTATATACATAGTATATTAGGCTCCGCATCTTGACTTATAATACAGTGAGTGATGTAAAGCGCATGTGAGTGCCTTTCACTTCCACGTGATCTCGCGAATTCACTCTTTCACTACAGTAATTGAAAGAGTGAATTCTTCTGCACAGCCCCTCCATCACTTCTGCACTGTCCCTCCATCACTTCTGCACTGCCCCTCCATCACTTCTGCACTGCCCCTCCATCACTTCTGCACTGCCCTTCCATCAATTCTACACTGCCCCTCCATCACTTCTGCACAGCCCCTCCATCACTTCTGCACTGCCCCTCAATCAATTCTGCACTGCCCCTCCATCACTCCTGCACTGCCCATCCATCACTTCTGCACAGCCCCTCCATCACTTCTGCACTGCCCCTCCATCACTTCTGCACAGCCCCTCAATCAATTCTGCACTGCCCCTCCATCACTTCTGCACTGCCCCTCCATCAATTCTACACTGCCCCTCCATCACTTCCGCACAACCCCTCCATCACTTCTGAACTGCCCCTCCATCACTTCTGCACAGCCCCTTTATAACTTCGGCACAGCCCCTCCATCACTTCTGCACAGCCCCTCCTCTCCATCATTTCTGCACTGCCCCTCCATCTCCCCTCCGCGACGTTCCCTCCTCCAATAACGCGCCGTGTCTGGGCTCGAGGGCTCTCGATCGTGAACGGTCGCTCATATTGGAAGCTCGTGCGCGTATTTAATTGGAAAATCACGGCTCGCATAGCGCGTAAAATTTGCCAGCATTTGCGTCCTGATCGAGTTTATAAAATTGGCAAATATTAAACGGGCAAATCATCGTATCGTGAGCGTGATACTGTCGCCGGTCAATGAAATATTGAGCCTGGAACTGCATGGAGATTTTGCTTAAAAATCTCCATCTCGGATCAACAAGTTAAAGAAATATTGTTCACTGATAACCTGCGAGGTTATGTCACTCATTGCACTCTAAACTTGAACTTTTTCGACTTAGTAGGTCTTTAGTTGAAATGCGCACAACAATAATTCACCATACGTATAAAATAGCGATGATTCCAGGCAATATAAAGAAGGGATCGGAGTATATAGCATCCATAATATATTAGGCTGGAGTCTTGTAAACAAATAGGATGTGATGACATTGTGAGGCCTCCAATCGATAATTATTTAAATGCCGGCAATTCTGCATCATGCACCCGCTTCATTATAATTAATGAGGTCGTTGCGATATTTATAGGTTAAATTTTACAGCGGTCAATTCAGCTCATGAATAAAGCGTTTTTATCAGTATTTTGTCTGAATGAGTATCGAAACAAAGTGGGTTTAAATTAAATAACATGGATATCATACAAATCATACTCGTTTCTGAGTAAAATAAAAAATGAAGTCAATTATCGTGTTTTTTTTTATTTTATAGGAACTTTTTCATTAGTAAAAAATAGATAAATACCGATCTCAAATGGTAGCATGAATTTTGTAATAAAAAATATTCACCACAATAAAAATATTCAACACAATTCACCACGCTTTTCACATTGCATAAAACCTTTCAATTGGTGACTAAGACATGACATGTAACTCACGTAACATCCACAACGTCTTTCCTGCATCCACATGCTGTCAGTAATATAACAAAGATAACCACGCTTTTTATTTTACAGTGTTATTTGTCATTACACTCATTTATGTCATGCATCTCTGGCGATAAATCTGACATAGTTCGTCGTAGCTCTCGCGGTAGATGGAGAGATTATTGCTTGTTAACCGTAATCGAGTTCACTTCAGAAGCTAATAATTCGTCAACAAAATGTCTTTTTTATCAAAATAAATCGGAAACTAATCGTTTCTATACTATCATCTCTGCCCCCCGACAATACAAAGACACCTGAAGTATAATTAATTAAAAGAACAGCTATTCGTTTACCTACTACCCATGTTAGTTACCCACCTGTCGTAGTCGAGTTTGCAGTAGATGAGAACAGCTATTCGTTTACATGCTACCATGTTAGTTACCCACCTGTCGTAGTCGAGTTTGCAGTAGATCTTGTCGTCCCTGGCGAAGCAGGAGCTGTTGAGCTGCATACGACACACGCAACACACAAGGCACTCCTCGTGCCATGACCGCTCCAACACACGCATGATGAAGCGGTCCTGGATGTGGCGCTGACAGCCCTCGCACACCTCGCCGCGTGACAGGTCGCCTGCCGGGCAGTTCAACGTCCAGGACTTTAGCACAAGTTGGGTAGTAGTACAGGTAATATTGTATGCATACTTATTACCATATACTATGTTATATATAGGTAATATAGTATATTTTGACAACGGACATATAACTTGGATGGTAGGTATAGGTAAAATGTTGGATAGTATACGTATAGGTACATGAGATGTTGGAGGTCAGTACACCTGAGGTATTGCATGGGTATAGTAAGTACATGTAAGATGTTGAATAGTTAGTATAGGTAAGATGCTTAAACATCTTTAGGAACAATGAGGAATTAAGTTTATCAGCGATGCATGAAACATTGTAAATGATAATATATGTAATATTTGCGTATTTATTAACATTTACTTCAAATTTCCTCGACAAGGTCGTGAGTAATATATTCTTTTGAACTCCTTCCCATATGAGGGTACATTCTTAACGATTGAATCTCAGAAAAAATTTGCATGCGACGTTTGGTTTGCGCTAATTCTATATAATGGTATTAAAAGTTTTTATAAATTTGACAATTCTTTTACTTTCTGACATCGCCTCGTGTCTGGTCCTTCTCGGAGGTGCAATAACACAAAGTTTTTAAAGGGAAGATATGGTAAACTGGTCTCTTGCTCGCAAACTTTAGAATTGAATTCAAACTTTTTCAGAAATTCATCAAATTTTATTCTGAGATACGTACAATGCATTTTACGTACAATACGTACAATATAGGCGTCCTTCGCGATTAGGATATGATTTAATGCCCTTATATAATATCAAAATGATTAAACTATTAGTTTGGAATTTCTTATTCCTTAGTTTTATAGAGCAAATTTTTATATAAAATATATAAATGTGTTTTATATAAAACAAATTTCTGGTTTTTCACCTTCAATATAATTTTTATCGCTTAACACAATCTATTCCCCCGCTCATTTCTAATATTAATATTCAAAAATTAAAAATCGAACTTGCATGTTCTTATATATGTAATAAGAAATATTAAACATATAGTAACGTAGGGTATTATTATTTTATTCTATTTTTAATCCCAATATTTCAATAATATATACTCTAATGGCGCTATTTTTCTAATTTTTAGCTCATGCAGTGTGTTACAGAAGTTACTATACGTGTTAATAATTATTTACAGGTTGTGCCTAATTAAGAAGAAACAAGATTCGTTACATCAAACGCCAAGAATAGAAACTTGATTATGATATTCTTGTCAACGAATCTTGTGCAGATTGTCATGTTCGTAAACCAAAAACCTAATATTATTGTGTTTTGGTATACTATTGTTACGGTTTCGTTGTGTTTTTATTGACCACAAAGAACTTCTGAATTTCCTGGAAATATTTGGTTAACAGGTAACAATAGTTTTGTATGGCGACATGTATTCTGGTATATATAGTTTTGTATGGTAGCATATATTCTGGTATATATAGTTCTGTAAGGCGACATGTATTCTGGTATATATAGTTTTGTATGGTAACATGTGTTCTGGTATATATAGTTTTGTATGGCGACATGTATTTTGGTATATAGAGTTTTGTATGGTAACATGTATTCTGGCATATATAGTTTTGTATGGCGACATGTATTCTGGTATATATATAGTTTTGTATGGCGACATGTATTCTGGTATATATAGTTTTGTATGGTAACATGTATTCTGGTATATATAGTTTTGTATGGTAACATGTATTCTGGTATATATAGTTCTGTATGGTAAGTATTCATGGTGACTTGGAGCCTGGGGTCCAAATTAGATCGTCATGAAAACACCACAAATTTTCGTGGCATATATAATCAAATGATTGGGACGCACGGGCACTGGAACTATAGTTTAGGGACATGGAAAACTCAATTCATTCAAGGTTAAAACTTGTTGACTAAGATATATATTTCAGATTACTCGGCCACGTTCTTGGTAAGCAATTTATTTTATTATTTACTTATTATTACTTATGTATCCAAAGAATCACTGGGCGATTTAGGTGGTAAGCCATTTAAGTGTGTTATAGAAGAGGCAGAATGAGTTGTGTTTGAATGAAATACAAATGAAATAAATGGCATGGGCATTTAAAACTTGATCGAAGCACTAGTTTTCTTGCTTACATTTTGCACTTAGATAATCGCACATTAATCCTTTCTCATTAATAAGCAAACTACACTAATCACTTGGTAACGTTATCATCGTTATTTGATTCCCAACAATGACTAATGCATTATATAATATTATCAATCAAAACGCTGCAGCACACGCTCATCACATGGTTTTAAATGCAATAAACGTGAACTTCACTCTTCACTTCACAATACACTCGTACCAACTTCAACCACTATACTATTGTACCAACTTTAACAGCAACATCCCAACTCCAGCCAGCACTCGTCTAAGAACTAAACTCCCTAGTACAACTTACACATCACCAGCATGGTCACTAGCTCGCTACTGCCACAGCTCTGCCCTGAGGGCTCTACTGTAACGCTTCCTTATCGCGCCAACGCGTACTCAACATTCCTTTATCTCTATCTTAATATCGACCTAGAATGTTACAATATTTCAATACTACAGTAAAAATGGGATCAAAGTGGCATAATTTTCTGGTATGTTCAAAAATTTTAACTGGTTCTCCCACATAATAGCAATTTTTGGCCGGAAATAGTAATAAAAGTTAGCTAATACGGCTTAATTATTCGTATTATTATTCCTATAATTATGGGATTATTGGAGTTAATATCGAACAATGCTATGTTGTAGTGTATTCTTGATATTTGAAGTGTCAAATTTCAGTAAAACGTTTTCCCAGTTTTTCAACGAACAAATACAAGAATAATAATATAACTTCGAATATTAAACCTGCAATATTACATTTGCCCTCTATAAATGCATCTACAGTGACATTGTTGCATATACAATGTGTGTGGCATTGCACACTGCTTAAAATACATCTGCATTAAAAGTGTGCACTGCTGTAAATAAATTTTTTGATGACATTGTAAACTGTCTCAAATATATTCATAATGATTATTAATAATCTTTAATTGCCCACACACATTTGCAATAATAACATTGTATACTGAATACCGAAATTATGTATACTGAATACCACACGCCCTTTACAAATTTTACATTACGTCTATAACATTTCCAAAGACATAGTTACACTGTCCTAAATACGTTTGCGAAGTAGTAAACTGTGAACATAGAATTAAATTTTTTGCGCATTCCGCAAAAATTATTCGAAAATGCTCTCTGCAACTTTAATACCATTGTACTTTTAAGAAGCCTGAAAAGTACTAAATAAATCGATACATGCATGTGTATAGGGTGACATAAGAAAGTAATGCACTGCACCTCATTATTGCGTAACTGATTTCTACGTCTGCAGTGAATCTTGAGACTCGAATATATTACTAAAGCTTTCACCCTTTGATGGTGAGCAACTGATAATTTGACGATGAGCAATGCTCAGTAAATTAAGGAATTATATTCAAATAAATTTCTTAATTTTATGGATTGCCAACCACGGTATTAAATTCGACCTAACCGCAATCATACTTTGGCTGCCTCCATTTGTTTTTGTTTGCAGAATCTGTGCATGGTTCGTGCAATATAAACCTATGATCGATCTCTTCACGTACTGCAGTTATTATTGTACTTTTATTTTGCAACGTAACATCAAACGCCATCTGAAACATCAGGACTTTTATAAAGTACAATCATGGTAATATTGAGCCAGCCTAAACCCCAAAAATCAAACTTATCAATAGAGGTCAAATTCTCTTGATTGCGCTGATAAAAAATTGAGGTTAAGCTTAATTCCTGCCACTTCTGTGATAGCTCTGGAGAAGTGAAAGCTGTTTGACTGTCTTCCAATACGTAGGGCAATTAATTCTTATGTAATCAAATACGTCATGAATGTAACCTACAGTGAACGAGCTACCTGGGCAAAGCCCATGCTGATCAGAGGGATTACTGATAAGCCATCATAGATAAGACAGATCAATATTATGTTTACTTGGATAAGAGTCCAAAGCTGTGAGTAATATAAGAATATGGTTCTGCGTTCTCAAACGTGAGTAAATGGAGGAAACGAATTTGGTTTCTATATCACGAGTAAAAAAATTCAATCGATGACAGTCCCAATTAAAGTAAAGAATGAAAACAACTTCTCTAACAATAAATAAGAAAATAAAACTGAACAAGTCTTTCCGTAAGGGCGAAACGAAATTACTTTAACGTTCTTTGCATCCATGCAAGCAGCTAAGAATTCAATTAATAATTGAGATAGAGTAGATTGTATGTTTATAGTAACTGTGAAGGTCTATATATAGGAAATGCAATATGTAGTTCCATGCATGTTTTCTACTCCTGCAGGCTTAAATGGAGCAAGATGTTCTACGCACAGCTGGATGTTAAAGTTTTGTATCACACGTATGTATAATTATTTCCAGAAACAATGACAATTAGCAACTTAAATGCTCACCAGGGTTGTAGTGGTGGTTGACAATCTCTTGAGCCTCGTGCACCATGTTTGCTAGTTTAGTTGCTATTTTTTCAACCATGTTCGACCAAACTATTGGTCAATTAGTAAATAATTTCACCTATTGCTTACGTTTCACTCCTTGCCAGCTATAAATTCAACAACATGAAATAAAATTGTTAATTAGAATTTGTCTGAATTTAGCACATTAATAAATATTTATTTTCGAGAGTGATAGCTTTAAATACAGTCCAGCTCGTGGCACCGATCAGCAATGTATATTAAAAAAATTATAACGATAATTATGTAATAATTACTTATAATATTAATTTACAGAAATAAGTTTGATCTTTTTTGCTGAGCAAGCATTCAAGTCTTCTGTCACGTCCACTCACTCAATTGTGAGGTTCTTCTTCCTCAAAATCGCGGTTAATCTTTTCGGATTAGCTGCTTTTGTGGCAATTTTGTTCCGCCGTAAAATTCGAACTTTATGATTCGAAATTAAATGAAATGGGGAGAAAGAAATAATCTCATCAAATGTTTTCTCAGCAATTGTTTGATATAAATTTTGAAACTATTTCATTATTTGAATTTCTACTTTAAGATACTGTATGCCTACCGATGAAAGGTCCGTAATGTGAAAAATACACGCAAGCAATATTCATTAAAAAGTAAACATGCCTACAAATGTAACACTTGATGCTTCAAGTAAATACTCTAATATGCTTGTAACGATACAATAACAAAATTTTAGTAATAAATATTATAAACTTTTGAAACTCAATAACTCAAAAACCAATCAATTGTAATTGCAAAACAGGCATCGGCAAATTTGCAATAGTCTAACACTCAATCAGTAATTTTGTATGCTTGCTTGGCCTTATATATAATTAAACTACAACATTTCGTATATATAGAAGGAAGGTTCAATGTGATGCCAGTTCTTGAAAAATCACAGACTAATTATCCCCACTCAAAGGAGACCCAATTTCTCAATAAGTACCCAAGCAGCAATAATTTTGGTACTCAATAAACAAACAAATTAATGTTCAACAATTAATATGCATTTGACTGATGAATTGTTTGCATGATTTGGATTGAACCAAATTCGCACGAGAATTTTTTTTTTTTTTTCAATTAGTAATCAAGTTTTCTAACAAACTTAGTTAAAAAAATTTTTGGTCAATTGGCCAGATTTCAATGTCTCAAATTAGTAAAAAAATCTAAGAACAGTCAAAAAATTAAGACACGGGTAAAAAGTTTATAATTCTTTAATCAACGCTCATGTTATTTTTGTTCGTATTGTGTTTGTTGTGCATGGTCACATCCTACTCAACATCACTGTGACGCTTCACATACCCGTTCACAATCACACGCCACAACACAATAAGAGTGAGCTTAATGCTCGCCCCTCACTCTAGAGTGAGGGCACTACCCTCTGCAGAGAGGGCGGAGCCTCGGATGCCCTCGCAAGGAGGGGCCTCCAGCGCCAGCTTCTGAATACTGGAAAAGTTGCCGACCAGGTCCCGAAAGCAACACTTTTCTCGAATCATTTTCCAACATTTCTTAACCGCTTTTAGTTTCGTTTGGGTTCTTACGTGTATTTAATATTTCAAAAACTGTTGTCTTTGTTCTTTTTGCAGTTGTGGCTATTTTTTTTTTTTTTGAAGGGGAAGATTTTTGAAGTTTGTAAATTTGTTTACTTATGAGTTTAACATTAGCAAGATTTACAAAAATTTGTGCAGACCAAACGTTCAAGTAGAAATTTTTATAATAATTTAATAATTTCAGTTTGCATGTATGACAGACGAAAAATGCTAGAACTCCTGATATTGTTACATATGAGAAATATAAGAAATAGAGCTAACAATTCGAAAAAATCGATTATTTAAACAGTTTTTATGCAATGCCAAGAAAAACGAACGATATAAAATTGAAAGCTATACAAACTGTTTTTCGATGTTTTTGCCCATCAAGTAACCAGGAATCAATTATTTGTTTTATTTTCCTTCCGAAAAATTTTGAAAACATACATATTTTGGTATTTCGGAGAAGCAAAGATTCGAGCTTTGCGCATACCAACAAAACCGACAAAAATGTGGGATCTCATTTTCCTCAGGGTAAAAGATCGCTATGCTGAGGACAGGTTTTTTGGAGGCGTTACTTGCATCGGAGGGAATCCCAACATGGACTGAGGGCGTGAGATGAAAATCCCTTGGTGGGCAGGGCCTGAGTTACCCTCACATAGAGGGGAGGAGCTTGAAGCTCCCTCGGTTCTAGGAGGAGTTCTCATATAGGGAGGAGTATTGAGGGCGGCGCATTGATAGTGATGACGACAATTTTGAGACGGTGGCACTTGGAGCCATCAAGACTAAAACAGAAATGCGAGGCTAAAACCGTCATGGGAAGCACTAAAGACAAACGTTAGGGTCATGATTAGATAATTTATAGCAGCGGAAATTGTGTCATTGAGACTCGGTATGAGATAACTAGGCACCATTACGCCAAATAACCAAGCAAGGTGTCTGCCGCTGCATTCCATTCACGGATGAAAAGAGAATTTTCAGCGGACATATTTCATGAATTTGTGTGGCCTATGAACCTTCTCCAAATTCCTAGTGTTCTATAACAGTCTCTTCTAAAATGAAATGTCGACTAATATTTCAAGTAGTTTAAAACTCATCCTCCTCGAAAGAATAACTCGAAGTTAGTGACTAACTATCCGTCATTTTATTTGATGCTTTAAAATAGAAATCCTTGATCTATGTTGAACTTTACTTATTGGAATCAAAGCCGAATTTATTCGATTCTTGGTACCGTTTATGGTGCTATTATGAAACAGGTCATTGTATTGGCGGTTGTATTACCTGAATATTTCGGTTATTACGTTACTGAAACTGATGAAAATTTTTGAAATTAATCATATTCCAAAAAAAGTTTCTTTCGTGACATTTGAATGCAAAACTGCATTTGCAAGTTAGAAAATTTATAGTTTGTATTGCTTTTTATTTATACTTGGCAGCTTCGCTGCGGATCTATTCTGATTTTTCTAATATATGGTTCTGGAAGACAAAGCAAGTTTGAAGCTTGCTTAGCATTCGCCATATACCGTCATCATTGATTACAAATTCCCTTGCAGTGCGTATCAAAAATCTGCCATACCTGGCATTGATGTGGAGCTGCTGGCACTTGCACCCTAAACAGATCGATGGCTGACTCAAGCGCTGTTTTGATGTGATGGAGATCATATCGGCCCTGAAATACTGAGCACTAATGTTTCTCATGGGAACTGTTGTCTTGACTGAGGTTCAAGTGGAAAGACTTCAAACGACAACAATCAAGGGCAAGCTGGTGTCCTACTAATTGAATTGTATTGAAGACATTTTGATAATACGATTAATTAGTTATACATATACCAAAAATAAATATATCAAATTATCATAGTAATTATAGCTTAATTTATATATTTTTATATTAATCCTTTTCCGAATATTTGGGTGACTTTTACATGAACGGTGACTTTAGTTTCTAGAATGAATTAACGGTTGGTACAGATGAGAAGCATTCGGCATGAATCGGAGTCACTGCTTTCATGTCTGCATTCTTGCATGAATAGTACATTCGTCACTATGGTTTATAGCAGTATTTAATGTTGCTTTTTAATGCAGGAGATTAATCTACTCCCTGCAAATAACCTCAACAAATCTACAGCATTACAACAGCTCTATGTCCCATCTATAATTACTACAAACAGTCAACCGAAGCCATACCCATGCAGTTAAAGATTGAAGCAGGATTTGGAGCTGCTATATGCAGGGCCGCACGAAGCATATACAGGCTGCGGACAGTGGACAATCAAAGAGAAGGAACGGGTAGGAGTCCTGTTAAAAATAAGAAGGCATTGACATAGAACATAGATTATATTATTCAAGCAATCTTCCATAATAACTATTAAAACATATCAAAGTACAAACTTAATCATCAATTAATTGTATGAGCACTTTACTATCGCACAAGTTGCAAAACATTTGTATTTTTTAACTTTCATATACATATAGCATATAGTCACCATTTCAACACTGCATCTATACAAGCTTTGACCCAGCCCAGGTGCGTCTTTATAATAGTTTACTGTCATTTGATTTCAGACATTTTTACCACATACTTTCACTTACACCACATCTAGATCCGGGTTGTCTTGTGATAAATCAAGGTCACAAATATATAGTAGCATCGGTGCGTTGAAGGTTCACAATTATAAGGCTTGCAAGCGTATTTTTGGCGGGGACTAAATTGTGGCTTTCGTTTTGGCGTTCGCTATTTTTAGCTTCGAGCTGGCTGTAGACGACATGACTGTACCTTAAATATGACTGTTGGCGAACGTTATATATACTGTTCCGTTCCGCCATCTTGGGTTAAATCTAAAAGTAGCATGGATCAGGCGCGTCATTGCACCAAACCTGTCTTCATCCCGCTTTTTTCTTGCTACTCACGTAGCTTACTTGACGCAGATTACGTCGACATAATTTTTTTTATTTGGAGGACTATATATTGCGAGTATTCGTTTTGGCGTTCGATATGTTCAGCTTTGAGCTGACTGTAGACGTGCTTCACTGTTTTATGAGCCGAGTTGAATCTGGCTGCAATTCAAGACGCCCTTAGCTTAATTTTACTCGGCGAATCGACTGCTTGCATGCCTGCATGCGGTTAGCTGCTGCTAACCGCATCCATCTGTCTGAGAGAGAGTTGATTTACTCTTCGTGACGTCCCCCACGCCTCGCATGTCATATCGTGAATGCCGTGCAGGCCGAAATGGGCGTCCTGTTGCCACCTATATCAAGCTATGCGCGACAACGGCGTGTTCGATCGTCGTCACTGGCAATATGCCGTTCCTACGGCGGCATTCCTTTGCGATGAACCCTACGTCTGCGAATGTTGCTGATGAGCATTGGCCTGTGTCGACCCGTGAGCCTCAAAACAAACCTGCTTAGCGTTCGTGTTGATCGGCCACTGTGTGCAGCCGTGTCGCCTGTAATCGTTCGGCTGCCTCAACATCCATTCGCTGAATAACAAGGTTGACGAGTTTCTTCACATCTGTCGCTCGCGTTCACTAGATGTCTTCCTGACCGAGACCTGGCACGACGCTGACTAGGTTTGCATGGCACGCCTTTGCTCTGAAGAACTCCAGGTAGTCGATC